AGTTTACTGAGGAAGCTAAAGCTGCTTTTGATCGTCTCAAGGAAGCTCTGATTTCGAGTCCACTACTTAATCACCCGGATTTCAGCAAACATTTCTACGTTCAGTGCGATGCGTCTGATGTAGGCATTGGGGCAGTGCTTTTCCAGAAGGATGATTCCGACGGAGAGCACCCAATTGCATATTTTTCACACAAACTAACATCGGCGCAGAAAAACTATTCGGTAACTGAACGTGAATGTTTAGCTGTAGTTCTGGCGATTAAGAAGTTTAGGCCCTATATAGAACTAATGCCATTTACCGTCATTACGGATCATAGTAGCCTAAAGTGGCTGATGAGCCATAAAGATCTGACTGGTCGTTTAGCGAGGTGGAGTCTACATCTACAGTCGTATGATTTTACGATTGAGCATAGGCAGGGGAAGCAAAATGTTGTACCCGATACCCTATCACGCTATGATATGGACGAAATCTCGTTAAACGTTCCTAAGCTGATCGATCTAACTTCAGTTTCTTTCCGGTCAGAAGATTATCGTAACCTCATAGACACAGTCGAGAAAAATGCCGAACAATTGCCCGATTTGAAAGTAATCGACGGTTTCGTTTACAAGCGTACTAAACCTTACGACGGTTTGGAAACGAATGAAGATTTCGCGTGGAAATTATGGGTACCGTTAGATCTGACAGAGGACATCATAAAAGCGTGTAAGGTCGTATCTGCAGGAAGACCACACAGAATGGGACAAGCATTTGTCCGAAATTGAATTTTCCTTAAGGTCTTCCGTGCAGTCGTCCATCGGAGTTACGCCTTACTTCGCCTTGTTCGGAATGAATATGATTGGCCATGGTAGCGTTTACCAGTTGGCACGAAAACTGAAAATCTTAAATGATCCAGAAATTAACGTCATTCCGAATGCTGCTAGATTGGATCTGATCCGTCAGAAAATTCGCGAGAATTTACACAAAGCTTACGCTCGCAACGAAAAATCGTATAACACGCGGTGTCGTCCAATTAAGTTCATTCCCGGTCAGGAAGTCTACCGACGTAACTTCCAGCAGAGTGATTTCAAAAACAATTTTAATGCCAAATTCGCTCGAAAATTTCTAAAATGCCGAATTGTACGACCAGTCGGAAACAGTCTGTACGAGGTCGAGGATATGCAGGGAAGATCGTTGGGGGTTTTTCACGCCAAAGATTTAAAGCAATAGCTTTAGAATCTTTGGTGGTTCTAGTCCCAACATGTTCTCCTGCTTATCTTTCGCCTGTCGTGTCTAGTAGTCAGCCTTATCTAATTTGTACTCGATAGGTAACTATAATTGGATAAAGTCTTTTGAGTTTTGTTATTAATTGAAAATCTATCTCTCGCAGTGAATTTCTGTTTGGTATAGTTGTTGTTGTATCCTGAGCAGTATTGAGATCTGTACATATCGTTCATTTATATCGTAGTCCAGTGAGATCCATAGCTTCTTTGGAATGAATAATTATTTGTTTGGTTCGACTTAAAGCCAACGTTTCTTAGCTGGTTACATGTGTAACCGGTCATTACCCTATTAGAAGGTGCAACCCCATCAAAGCCTTCCGGTACCGTGCCATTAAAAGCGTAAGGGTTATTAGTCACCTAGGGCAATGACACAATTCTGAGTCCGATCTTACAGCGAGCCGATACCAAAGGAAACAATTGGGACAATACATATTGGCAGACCAACAGGTATTTGTTCATTCCGTAAGCAGATTGTCACTGGCTGGGATATAAATGATCAATAGTACAGAATCATCGGTTTTGTCCAGGATATAATCAGTAACTATACTAAACACAATTCATTTGAAGTCAGTAGTAATAACAAGTAGTTTAGGACCTTGCTTCATAGTTTTTCTAAACTTTATCTTGTTATTACTACCGAATTCTGCTTTAATTATGAAAAGATATGGTTCCTATCCAGTCCGACTTAAGACTATTCAACTTATACTACTTTATTAAATTTTTGGTTTTACACTCACTCTGATATTTCTACGCCTTTCTGCAAATATCTGCTTCTGTTGTATTTGTTGCTTTAATTGTTGTTTAGTAGTTGTTTCTGTTGTTGTTGTAACCTGAAATAAAGTTCGGAAGACTTTAGTAGGGATTCCCATAGTTTAAATATAAATTTAATATATTTTAGTATATACTTGCCAATTCCCCTGAATTAAATTGGCTTCATAGGGTTCGTCCTTCACGAGGGCACTTGAATTCCCCAAGGAACCTGTAGAAAACAAGATATTAGTTATTTTCAATTATTTGTTGAGAATGAAAATTCCTAAAGAAATAATATAATGAATTTGCTAGAGGAAATCTTTAATTTTAGGATATTTTCTAATCTCAACAACACTTATTCTAAGAAATTAATTTTGTTTTTATATTTTCATGTGGAAATGTCAAGGGGTATTTCTCGCCAAGGATCAAAGGATTTATCCTGAAATCTTTGGTGAATCTAGTCCTTGCATTTCCCACCTTTAACAAAAGACTTACCTGAGTCTTATTTGAAGTCCAGGTCGTCTAGTCTTCTTACTCCAATGAATGGATAATCTGAAAAGAAAGTGAAAAATGTTAGAAAGAAGTTCTAATAAAATTATATAAAAATTCCAAAACAAAAAAAAAAAAAAATCACAAAAAAAAAAATATATAAAAACAAAAATTAAAAAAAAAAATACAAAAATACAAAACACAAAAACCACAAAAAAAAAAATATATAAAACACAAAAAAAATCACAAAAAAAAAATTTGAATTTTGAATTAGTAGAATTTTTTTTATTATTTATTTTGAATTTAAGTTCGTTTCGTTCACAGCACACTTTTAGTGAACACCTTTCTTTTTTTTGTTGCCATAGTTTTCATTTTAATTGTTTTGTTTACCGATTTCATTATTTTGTTTTCACGACCTTTTTAATTTACCACTCCGTTTTATTTTATTTTTTTTGTTAATTTTCACTAATTTTTCTAATTTTTAATTTTCTAAATTTTTTTATTTTTAATTTTCACTGTCACACCACTTTTGCACACCACTGTAATTTTTATTCTCAGTTTTTCGGTTTTAACACTTCACCACAGATTAGGATTTAATTTATTTTAGATTTTCTTTTTATCACTGCCACTTTTCTCCGCCACTGTATTTTCCACAAAAAAAAAATATTCGAAAAAATTTATTTAATTTCGCGTCGATTTTCAATTTAGTTTATATAAAATTTTTTGTATACCACTTTTGATTGTCACTGTATTAAAATTTTTTTTTTATTTTTGATTCATCACCCATTATTTTCACAACCACTTTCAAATTAATTTTAATTTTTTATGATTTTATTTTCATTTCACTTTTGTTATCCACTGTAATTAATTTTTTTTTTTTTTTACCGGTTTAATTTTCTTTATCACTTTAGTTTCCGTATCACTTTTAATTTTTTTTGTTCACTTTAATATTTTTGCTCACTTTTAATTTTAAAATCCGTGCATTTTTGCCCGACACTGTAACTTTAATTTTTTATTTTTTTTAGTTTTCAATTTCATTTTCACTTTAATTTGCATTTTTTTTTTTTTTTTTTTTTTGTTCTCTTTTCAATTTATTTTTTTTATTACACTTTTGTCACTCACTGTAAATTTCATTTTTATTTTTTTTTGTATCGACACAATTTTTTATTGTAAATTTTCATTTAATTTTTTTCAATTTTTTTAGTTGTAATTTTTTTTGGCGTACACTTTTGTTACACACTGTAGATTCCGTTTTAATTTTATTTGTTTGCCGACACAAATCCGATTTTTTTTATTTAAAATTTTCATTTAATTTTTTTTATTTTAATTTTCTTTGATTCACTTTTGTCCCGCACTGTAATTTCTGGAAAATAATTTTTTAATTGTTATTGCATACCGGCAATAAATTTTTCACTTTTTATTTTGAAAGAAATTTTAATTTTTCGTTTTCATTTTTTTTTGTCCGTCCGCGCACTTTTTACCATCACTGTATTAAAATTTTTTTTTGTCCACAAATTCCTAACTGCACTTTTATTTTTATTTTACCACCACACTTTTATTTAATTAAATTCATATTACTTACCTTTTTGTTTTTGTCCAAATCCAGAAATTACGTCTGCACACACACGATAAATAACTGTAGTCACATTCCTGAAAAGAGTAAACAAAAAAAAAATGCATTAATAAATTTGTTGACCTTGAATATTTTTAATAATTTTTTTTTACTTACCAAAATTCCACCAGAATCCGCAGCATCCTTCGTCTATTCCTGAAAAGAAAATATAAGAAAAATTTTATTAGTATTTTGCTACATTTTCATATTAAAATTTCCAATTAGAAATAAATATTTTCGAAGAATAAAAACTCATTAACAAATACTTACCATTCTTGTTCACCGCCATTGAAAAATGATCGTACGCATTTACACATGCGTATTTTTCCTATGTTGCCTCCTCCCGTTCCATTCATTCAAGCAGCTGTTCAGAGTTCGTCGCCGACCGTCCAATTTTTAACGGCGGCACAGAGTTGTACTTTCGTTCTCGAACGAATAAGGGTTGCCAGACTGCATTTTTTTATATGGGGATTAAAAAATGCCCAAAATTTTAAATTTTTATTTTATTAGGGTAATTCATAAAAATCAGGGCGCGTATTTTTCCCTCCCATTTTGTCTCCATAAATGGATGACAGAAATGGTGGGGTTTGTCGTGTGCACCCTGTAGGTAAATGTGTGAATGGTTGTAGAAATAAGAAGAAGGGAAAAATAAAGTTGGCAACGCGTCGTTTGACATTTTTGAGAAAAGAAAAAAATGAAAGTAAACAAAAACAAACACTAGGAAAATTATTTGAAACAGTAGATTGAATAGCTGAAAGGAATTGAAACAGTAGGAAGCCATTATGGGATCCGAGGTTTCTCGGACCCTAATGTGCAAAATGTCGGCCTTTTTTTTTTTGAGATTCAACGAAGCAGCAAGTGGCAAGTGCGCACAATAAAAGTCGCCTAAGCATTTTTAAAGTCTTTATTTAAATCAAACAATATAATATAAATTATATAAATTGAACACCGAAAAAAAAAGGTTATACAAATATTTCAACGCCACCTCTGCCGACTTCCAACGTGGGATCTTTCATTTGGGAACATCGGCTCCGCACTGCCAATCCTGGGGTGCGCAGGTATACCAAAGGTTTCGACCATAAAGATTTTTGACCCTGAACGACAAGACGGACTGACAGTACCTTTTAAATAATTAATAAAAAAAAAGGGAAAATAATAAATAAAAAAATTTATATATATATAAAATAACAAGCTTACCATTGGTTAGAATCGGACCAGACCGCTGGCCAAAAATTACCGCCAAGCGTGCGCGACGTTAGGGTTGAGCTCAGGCCTAGTTTTTTAGAAGAATTTGCGGCAGATTTGCACCCAGTAGCTCAGTATTTTTATACGTATATATATGTAAAAAAAAAAATAAATATATATAAATAATTATTTAAAAGATATTTAAAATTTTTGCAAACTGACCTGAATTACCCGGACCTGGACAGAATACGGACGACGGAAACCCCACTGCAACACCTGCCAACTCCATAGCCGTAGGACCTGTAGAAGAAAGAGGAGAAAGTAAGGAAAAAATACTTAAAAGCTAAAATCTAAAGATACTTAAAAGCTAAAAGATAAAAATACTTAAAAGCTGAAATCTAAAAATACTTAAAATTTAAAAATTTGATAAAACTAAAAGCTGAAAACAATTTGTCAAAAACTAAATTCTTAAATCTATTTAAAACTTAAAACCTAAAATTTAAAATATACTGCTTTAAAACTAAGAGATTATATTGTGAAATCATACTACTAAAGCCTAAATCTACTTAAATCTAAAGCTTAGAATCTACAAAAACTTAAAATGGGAAACTAAAGAAAATTTGTTAATCTAAAAGCTAAATGTGTTAAACCGATAATTTGTATATAAAAATTTTTTGTAATAATAAATATCTCCCTTAAACTCATTTTTTTGGATATTGTCCATAAAAAAAATTTTTGTAAAATTTAAATTTTGCCGTAAGCTAAGAAAAATTCTAATAATTAATAAAAAAAATTATGTTTATAACGTTTTAAAGAAATTTTGAAAAGTTGTGTCATTAATATGATTTGGTAATTTGTTTGAAAAGCGGCGGTAAGTAGGGGAAGTGAATGTTCGCAGGGAAGATTTGGGGGACGTCAAGGAAGAGGACGTCATGGTGAGGTTGAATCCTCTAGTGGGAGGACAATAATGTGTATAGGTATGACCGCAGGGAGATGCAGGACTACTTTTGGCCCCTTTTTCAAATAATACCCCAAATGCTGGTATGAATTTTTGTGTTAGTGTGTGTTTATGGTCCAGATTGCCGGCAAGAACCACCCCATCCGGCGAGCTTTAGCCGCGCAATACGCGGGCATACCAGCGCCGCTAGCAATCTGGCCATTCTGTTCCTTTCTGTTTATTTTGTTTTCTGTTTGTCTTATTTTAAACAAACAGCTGACCACCACACCACTACAACAGCTTAAACTGCGTTAAAATTAGATTTCAAAAATGTTCACAAAACTTAATTTGGTTGGCCTGTGTTATTGTACAATTTAACATTCAGCATGTTATATTTCGCCCTGAGGAGAGAATATTTAGTATAATCGAGAGCTGTCCCAGATTTTTTGTATTTATACCCTACACCACTTTAGTGGCGAGCAGTGTTGCCAATTTAGCACTTTTAGTGCTAGATTTAGCACTTTTTAAACTCATTTAGCACCCAAAAATGTAATCTAGCACCTAGCACCTTATTAGCATTTTTCAAATGTTTTTTGGCACTTTTTTTTAGCACATTTTAGGATTTTTTGTACATATTCTTGTATGCCAATTTTAATTGTTCTTCTTTAAAAATATGGTTAAAAATTAATTAATTATGTACAACATAAAAATTAATGTTTACTGGTTATCTGAGCTTAAGTTACATTTTCAAATAGCCACTTCCTATGGAAAATTAAAAATATAATTATAATTGTAAACCCAATTTCAAAAATATTCACAACCAATAATTTTTGCGTTACGCATCAACAAACTCGTTCAATGGAACGATTCTGGAACAAGTTATTTAATCAATGATTTAAGTTCGAGTTTGTGTTACGCATTTATAAAATAATTTATTTTAAAATAAATTCAAAATAAACTGACATTAGGCATTAATAGAATTAAAAGCATTTGGATCAATTCCATGTTGGCAACTCCATTATACTCCTTTTTGCATTACCTTTGAATCCAACCATGCACTTTAGTTTTTGCAAGCTCCTTTTGTTATCGAACTTCTTCTTTTCTTTTACAAATTAAACCGTTAGCTGATTTGACCAATGACTACACGACATTTGTCAATTTTATGTCAGATGATGATCCCGTTAGATCAGATGACAAAACAACACGTGCGAAAAGGAGGAAGAAAAAGACAATAATAACACATATCACCACGCGTAGGATGTTTCAAGTTAGTTAGTAACGTGCTTTTGAGAAGTCAAGTTCTGGTCGTGGCCCCGGAGTTTTGGAGAAAAAAATCATCTGAGCAAGATGTTCAAATGTGCATTTAGTGAAAAATTTTAACTAATTTTTTTTTTATTGAACTAAATAAATAAAATGTGAAGAAAAAAACTATATAATTAATGAAATGACCATATGAACTAAAATGAAACGAAATGAAAAATAAAATAAAAGTGAATAAAAAAATTTACACAAAAATGTGGAAAAAAAGATTAATAAAAAACAAGTAAGAGTGCTATATTCGGCTATGCCGAATCTTATATACCCTTCACCACAGTGTATTTAAAAATATATCAATTCTATAAAATTTTAATTTATTTCTTTTTCCCGTTTATATCATTATTATAGCTATAGCAAAACGAACAATAACAACGCTAAACGAAATAAATACACAAAAAAACAATTTACACAAGGCAGTAAAACCAACAGACATCCAAACATACGAAACGAAATACACAAAAAAACAAAATACACAACGCAATGAAACCAACAGGCATCCAAACATACGAAATTGAATACACCAAAAAACAAAAACAATATACACAAGACAATGAAACATACGAAACGAAATACTCACAAAAAAGCAAAAACAAAATACACAACGCAAAGAAAACAACAGACATCCAAACATACGAAACTGAATGCACCAAGAAACAAAAACAATATACACAAGGCAATGAAACACACAGCCATCCAAACATATGAAACGAAATACTCAATGAATAAGCAGTGTTGTTGTTGTTGCTTATATCAAAGCATGAAAAAAATTTTATTTTTTATAAAATTTTCAGAGGTTGTCTCGGATTTTTGCTTATATCTCCGGTATTTATGGACCGATTTTGCTGATTTTAAATAGCGATCTTCTCGAAAGCATGTCTAACAGAATTATTGCAGATTTGAATCTCGCCGTCATCTGGGGTCCTCTAAAAACTGATTTCAACAAACACACAGACGGACAGACAGACAGACGGACATAGCTTAATCAACTCCGCTACCTATAAGGATCCAGAATATATATAGTTTATGGGGTCGGAAAATTATATTATAGAAATTACAAACGGAATTACAAACTTAAATGTATTAAATCAAAATTTGAACTGGATCATGTAAAACTAAATGTAAAATTGTAAATATTAAAAAATGCAGAACCTATATTTAATAATAATAAAAATTTTAACCTTGTGAACTAAATATTTAAATCGAAAGAAAAACAAGTAAGAGTCCTATATTCGGCGGTGCCGAATCTTAGATACCCTTCACCATAATGTGTTAAATAGAATAGCCAGTACAACAAATTATTACAAAAAATAAAAAAATACCAGTTGTAAAACGAAAAAGTATCAGATTTGTATTAACTTAAAAGTACCAAAAAGTCTCACTTTACATGTTCTCACTATAAATACAAAATTTCATGTTTCTTGGTTCAATATTATAGAAAATTCAAGAAGTACCTTTTGGAGAACGAAAAAGTACCAAAAGGTCCCCTTTTATAAGTTCTCACCTAATCCAGGCTTTACATGCTAAATTTCATGTTTCTAGGTTCAATATTATCGAAAAGCCTAAAAGACATTTGTAGAACGAAAAAGTACCAATAAGTCTCCTTTTATAGGTTTTCAACCTACATGCTAAATTTCATGGTTCTAGGTTCAATATTATAGAAAACTAGCTGTACCCAGTGTGCTTTGCTACCCTTAAAGCAATGCAAATAAAAAAACACTTTACGATTTTGAAAATTCTTAACTATAATAGTTTTCAGATATAATTTTTTTTACATATTGGGGATGCCACGCAAATTATTGCAAGTTTGCCAATTTATCAAAATGTTAATTTAGATTTTAATGTAACCTATGAAAAATTTGAATAATATAACAAGAAAAAGTGCTATATTCGGCTATGCCGAATCTTATATACCCTTCACCATAGTGTATTTAATATAAAATTAATATTTATTTCATTTTCCTGGCTATATATTATTATAGCAATAGCGAAACAAAATGAACTACAACAACGCTAAACGAAATAACCACACAAAAAAACAAAATACATAAGGCAGTTAAACCAACAGCATCCAAACATACGAAACTGAATACACCAAGAAACAAAAACAATGTACACAAGACAATGAAACATATGGAACGAAATACTCAAAAAAAAAAAAAAACAAAAACAAAATACACAACGCAATGAAACCAACAGACATACAAACATACGAAACTGAATGCACCAAGAAACAAAAACAATATACACAAGGTAATGAAACACACAGGCATCCAAACATACGAAACGAAATACTGTAAAAAAAAAACAATATAAACAACGCAATGAAACCAACAGCCATCCAAACATACGAAACTGAATACACCGAGAAACAAAAACAATATACACAAGGCAATGAAACACACAGCCATCCAAACATATGAAACGAAATACTCAATGAATATGCAGTTTTGTTGTTGCTTACATCAAAGCATGAAACAAATTGTCTTTTTTATGAAATTTTCAGAGGTTGTCTCGGATTTTTTCTCATATCTCCGGTATTTATGGACCGATTTTGCTGATTTTAAATAGCGATCTTCTCGAAAGCATGTCTAACAGAATTATTGAAGATTTTTATCTCCCCGATATCTGGGGTCCTCTAAAACTGATTTTAACAAACACACAGACAGACATAGCTTAATCAACTCCGCTACCTATAAGGATCCAAAATATATATATTTTATGGGGTCGGAAAATTATATTATCGAAATTACAAACGGAATGACAAACTTATATATACCCTTCTCACGAAAGTGGAGGATATAAAAATAAGAAACTGAATTTTAAGAAAATAAGGAAAAAAACACAAAAGGCGTGTGAGCCCTTTTCGGGGGTGAGTCCTTTTGGCCTAAGGACGCAGCCTATTGAAGATGGTTAAAATCGGTCATTATTTCACCTAGCCCCCATACAACAGAACCCCCCGAAAAGGGCTTCTGAGCTCATAATTATGTTAAATATACCTGTATATAGATAAAAAGCGGCACAACTAAGTTTTATACAAGTCTTGATGACCTTGCCAAATTTCATAAAGATCGCGCCTCATTTGACCCCAGC